ATGCTATACATAGGATATTGGGGAATGTCTCTCCAAAGAGACTTGAACGCATAGTCAAGGATGCGATTATTAGGCTGCCACAAATTTTATGCGTTGGTTGTGTCAAAGGATATATGCTAAGAAACGCAATTTTGAGGCTAGTCGATCATTTGGTTTTTTGGACTATATTTATACCGACATTTGTGGTTCATTTTTATTGTAGCGACAAAGGTATTTCATTGTCTTCATTGATGGGTTCTCAATGTATGATTGTATACTTAATCCACCAGAAGTCCGAAACACTTGATGTGTGTAAAAACTTCTAGACTAAAGTTGAAAGTAGTTGGTATAAAGATTATGGTTTTAAAATCGGACTAAGGTGATGAGTTTTATTGGGAAAATGGTAAGGAGGGTGTAAATTGTAGTACTTTCAGTATATACTTAAAGAGTAGGGCATTGTGCCACAGTACACCATTCCTAGTTCTCCTGGGCAAAATAAAGTTACAGAAAAGAAAGCGTGGGGATGTCTTATAGAGACAGAGTTATATAATGCAGATATTAAGGAGCTTAATACTCACATTACCAATGATTATTTTATTAGACATCTTGAAAGATTAAAGAATTCGAGATTTTACTGTTCTGTAGACCTATAGAGATTATTGAAATATGTCATGCATATTTAATGAGAGTGGCGAATCCAGTGAGAGTTTAAGATATTGTAGATTCTTTTACAGAAAAGTATTTTCAGCATCTATTCTATTTATTTCAAGCTTTATTCCACTTTCTATAGTGGTTTCAGTTAAAGCTCTAATTCCCACTCTTTCAATTATTCCCACTCATTTAGTTATTTCTTCTTTGTAGGCCTTTCTTTTAGTTTCCATTCTAGTTCCTAAGCTAGTTTAGCTTAGGAGATCTTATAGAGCTTGGAAGTATACTATAGTTGGTGATTTTGAGGTGTCTGGTGGATATAAGACAAAATTGGTGGTCAAGTGCTTAAGCAAAAGTGAAGTGTTGTTTTCTTTGAAATTATTTTCCGGTTTCATTAAAGAACTCTTTAAGAGTCATTCTTTCATTATCACTCATTTATGGCTTAAATAAGTTTTAGAACAGTAGTATCCAAAATTTTAATACAATGGTTACTAATTGTAAGTTCAAAGAGAATGTTATGGATAAATGCATATACCTTAAGTTCAGTGGGAGTCATTTTGTTTTCCTTGTCCTATTTGTTGATATTTTGCAAGGTAGCAATAACATTCATGTGATACATGATATTAAGAATTTTATGTAAAGAATTGACATGAAGGATATGAGTATGCAAAGTATGTCCTTGGCATTAGGATTCATAGAGAACACACTACAGGAATACTTGGACTTTCTCTAAAGGCTTATATTAATTAAGTATATGGAACAATTTAAGGGTTATCAAGCGTAGTAAGCCCATTGACATAAAGTACATTTTCAAGCATGAGAAGGTTAAGGTTGAAGTGTCATTAAGATTTTCCTATATGGTTACAGAAAGATTGTTGCAAGTCCTTTTACTAAAGTCTTCAGCCGAAGATAATAAAGTATTTAAAGAGCACGTGATTCGGATAGGTGTTCGAGAGTCATTATGGTATGATGTCTTGTATTTCTTTTGTATAAGCTATATTATAGTTAGTTTCTTTACGCCTTGTAGTAACAGTTATTTTTCCTCCAGTTTACGCCTTATGCTGACAGTTATTTGCATCCAAAATAAAGTTATGATGCATAATTATTATTATCTTGATATATATGGTTTATGCACGTGCTATTATGTTTGCCTGGAGTGATATTTCACTCATGAGGTTGTTTGGGTTAGATGTGAGATTAGCACCACATCGATAAATCCAAAATAATTATTAAAGGTTGTCTGAGAGTGCTAATTCACTCATACGATTGTTTGGGCTAGATATGAGATTGACGTCATATCGGTAAATCCAAATATAAGATTTGTCTAGGAGTGGTATTTCACTCATGAGCTTGTTTGGATTAGATGTGAGATTGACACCACATTAGTAAATCCAAACATAAATATTAAATTTTGCATGTGGGAGTTTTTTCACACTCCATGAGGATAACTTGGGCTAGATTTGGGATTGGCTCCATATCGGTAAACCCTCACACTGAACAGAAGGTTGGCGGTTTGCTTTAATATGTTCAAGTGACATACCGCGATGGTATGAAGTAGAATGGATAGCTTGGGCTAGATATGGGATTGGCTCCATATCGGTAAACCCTCACACTGAACAGAAGGTTGGTGGTTTGCTGTAATATGTTCAGGTGACATACCGCGATGGTATGAAGCAGGACTGATAGTGAGGTGTGCGTTTAGACCCCATGCAGTTTGCACATCTCATGAAATACAGTATAACCACTATATTTACTTGAATCCTAGATGGAATCAGTTTTGAGACCATGGAACTGTTTAGACTAATATATTACTTGTCTACGCATTTATGATCCACTATTGAGAAAATTTATGGAGGAGAGTGTTCTAAAGTTTCAATCCATCAATTTCGATAATTGTGTTTTCTAAATAAAAATGAGTGGCCACTCGACTTTTATAAAGTGTGTTACAATCCATAGTGTCATTTTATAAAACTTAGAGTGCATGGACCAAGTGGAAAATTATTGGAATTTTTACATATATATTTAAATAATAAAAATTATTTTATAGTCCTATGTACTACGTTTTCTAAAATAGGATTGCAACATGATTATTGATACTTGATGGATTGAGTTGTACTTTCCAATTTGGTGGTCTAATTGGGAGTATGGTTTTATATCGTTGGATTGTGGTTTTCTAACTTATTTGGTGTGATTTATTTCTAACCATTGATATCTAAGTTTCCATGATAGGAAGGGAGACTTAGGTATGCTTATTTGTAGAGAAGCGGTCCCCCCATGTTGTTGTTATATATATAAGAGTTTTAAAACCCTTATTCAGACCTATCGTATCAACAACTCTCAGAAGGTGGTAAAACGCTCTATTGTTTTGCAGGAATTCACAAAGGATTATATGGATATTCTAAAGGTATTGCGATTTAACCATTAATCAGGTACGAACCTAAATTCTCTATTTAATTAATTGTAATATTCTTGATTTCCACCTGTAGATTATTTATTTAAATCCAACAGTAATACCCTCAATCTAAATATTCTAAATCTCTATATAATTTCTCTCTTTCTCTCTCATCTCTGAATGTTTTCTTTGCTATTTTGGGGTTTTGTTTTTGTTCTAAAATTATACTAAAATCAACTGAACAGTATGCTTTGAGATTGTTCAATATTTATTGCACGAGATTGACTGATAGCAGATTAAAGGGCTTTGCTTTGTTAGAGAAGTTTCAAGTTGTAGCAAATTTTGTTACTGCAGTTTTTTTTTTTTAATTTTTATTTATGAGAAAGAAATTTGCAAATTCCTCGTTCAGTATTTTTTTATGCTTCACAATATCCATATGAAAAAAAAATATATATCCTTAAACTATGGAAAGATTACAAGATGACCCTGAACTATTTTTTTATTTTTTTTATTTTTTGTGTGGAGCATATTAACTCCTCAACCATACATGTTGCATGTTACCTATACGTTCTGGCAATCAGAGTCTCACAAAACATTATAAATATAAAATACCCTCAATCTAGACTCTAGTTAACATTTTTACCCAAATTCACTCTCTCTAAAGCTTACAACAGTGCAATACATAGATCAATAAATCGCAAAACACCATTACAATGCATGCATGTATTTATTCAACAAATTTCATGTCTATGCAAATTGGTGACCAATCAAGGAGATAATTACTATGGAGTAATATATAAAGTTGGTATAGGTCCTTAAGTTTGTGATAGGCTTTGATGTGACCAAAGCCATTAAGGACTTCTTTGTCTCTGGCAAACTGCTAAAGGAGGTTAAAAATTCTTACATTGCTCTAGTACCAAAGTCTCAAAATCCTTCTTCCCTTAATGATTTTCGTCCAAGCTCTTGGCCAATAAACTATATATAAATGTATCACCAAGCTCTTGGCCAATAAACTCAAGCTAATCCTATCATCCATCATTGATCCAAGCCAAAATGCATTTATTAAGGGTAGGCACATTGGTGATAGTGTTCTACTGGCTCAGGAGCTTCTTTAGGGTTATCATAGACGTCTTTCACCACATAGGTGTGCTATGAAGGTGGACCTCATGAAAGCTTTCGACTCAGTGGGTTGGAATTTTCTGCTGGATACTCTTGATCTTTTTGGGCTCCCTCTTCCATTTATTGGCTGGATCAAGGCTTGTATTACTTCACCAATTATTCACTGTCTCCATCAATGGTGAATTCCATGGTCACTTTAGAGGGGTAAAAGGTTTAAGGCAAGGTGATCCCCTATCACCCCTCCTGTTTGTAATAGCAATGGAAGTCTTCTCTGCCATTACAAAGAAGTTTATTTCTGATTCCACATACTTCAAATTCCACTCAAGATGTAAAAATTTGGCTATTTCCCACCTTATTTTTACTGATGACCTACTTCTCTTCAGTCATGGAGACCTTGCCTCTATATCCACACTTAAGCATGCCCTAGACCATTTCTCTACTCTCTCGGGAATGAAAATCAACAATTCAAAAAGTTCTTTCTTTGTCTCTGGAGTGCACTTGGCTCTAACTAACAGCATCAAAAATCTACTGGGATTTAATTGTGGCTCACTACCTATTAAATACTTGGGTGTTCCTCTTCTCTGCACTAGACTCAAAGCAGATGACTGTCGAGGGCTAGTGGAGAGGATCACTAAAAGGATTAATCACTGGTCATCCAAGTTTCTTTCCTATGCAGGCAAAATCCAACTGATCCAATTAGTCCTTTACAGTATGATTAACTACTGGTCCATCCTATTTATTTTGCCTAAATCAGTTATAGCTGAGGTAACCAATCTTATGAGGAATTTCCTGTGGTCTGGTACTAAATTCAAGCAGTCTGGAGCTAAGGTGAACTGGATTGCATGCTGTCAGCCTAAAGAATTTGGAGGTTTGGGTTTCAGAAATCTTGAAACTGCTAACACAGCAGTAGCTCTTAGACACATTTGGACTCTTATTTCTAATTGCAGGGATAAACTATGGGCTCAGTGGGTTAAAGCGCAGCTCATTAGGGACAGATGTTTCTGGACAATCAATACTCCTTAATCATGCTTTAGCAATTGGAAGAAAATTCTGCAATTAAGGGGTGTTGCTAGATCTATGATCCTAGCTAAGGTTGGAAATGGTTCGAATATTTTTTTCTGGGAAGATAATTGGTCTCTAAGGGGACCATTCTCGATGTTCTATACTAAGGAAGAAATTAGTAACTCACCAATTCACCCAAATCAGACACTGGCTTCTATGATTCACAATGGGGAATGGATCTTCCCAAACTTCCTCACCCAGCGCTTTCTAGAGATTAGTAACCTTCCCCTTCCAAGCTCTAATGTCGATTCTTTCACCTGGATCCCATCACCAACAGGGGATTACTCACTAGGTCACACAATTGCATGGCTCGGGGCGCACAGCCATCCAAAACATTGTCAACACCTGGTTTGGAACAACCTCTCCATCCCAAGATGCAAATTTACCTTGTGGCTTGCAGTACAAAGAAGACTTTCCACCCTTGATAGAGCAAGTATGAGACACTTCATGGGATCCAGAGTCTGTCATCTTTGCAATCTTGTTGATGAAACCCATGATCACTTGTTCTTTGCCTGCTCTTTTACTAGCCCAATATGGATCGCTCTCCAAAACAAGTGCAATTTCTACTTTTCCCCTTCTCGGTGGAGTGATTTGGTTGATCAACTGTCGATTTGCTGGTCAAGTAAAAATTTGAAGAATTCAGTCAACAAGCTTGTGTTATCCACTACAATTAACAAGATCTGGCAAGAGCGCAATGACCGAATCTTCAAAAATCAGAAGCACAATCAGCTCACAATCTTCAAACAAATTACTGATCTTGTTAGGCAAAAGCTGTTAACTACTTTGGTAAAAGACTCACCATGTGCAAGAAGGCTTAAGCTTGAGTGGAATTTGCCGGCGTTCATCAAACCTCCTCCGAAGCCTCCTGATCGCTCGGATTAGGGTTCGCACCCTTTTGCTTTACACCGTTTGTGGGTATTCCTTAGACAAACATAGTCTTCATCGTCTTAGACTATCATTGTCTTTGTGTTATACTGGATCTAAATACTGGGCTTACTATTTTGGGTTGTAAAAGGTTCTTGCGAGTGGGCTGTCCACGGTTTGTGGACCAGCCTCTCTTATAACTTCTGTATGTAATTTTTCATATTTTCTTTATAAAATTATCCTTATCTTCCACAAAAAAAAAAAAAAAAAAAAAAAAAAAAAAAAAAAAAAAAAACTAAGATCAGTTACACTATTTAATTTGATTGTTTATTTCTCTTGTTGATTTGTCAATGCCATACTAGATCTAAATACTGGGCTTACTATTTTGGGTTGTAAAAGGTTCTTGCGAGTGGGCTGTCCACGGTTTGTGGACCAGCCTCTCTTATAACTTCTGTATGTAATTTTTCATATTTTGTTTATAAAATTATCCTTATCTTCCACCAAAAAAAAAAAAGACTTAGAAGACTAAGATCAGTTACACTATTTAATTTGATTGTTTATTTCTCTAGTTGATTTGTCAATGCCAACTCTTTAATCAAGTACTATTTGTTCTTTGTTTGTTGAATAACCAGAACGTCAATGACTTACAGTAGTAGAAGGAAAGAAGTACATAATGGAACAAATGATATAATCAGTGGCCTGCGAATAAACGTAGTAGACTCTATCCTAGGGTCCATGCCAATGCGAGCTGCAGCAAGAACTAGCATATTGTCCAGAAAGTGGAGGTACATTTGGGCTTCTCATCCAAAACTTGTGCTTGATAAGGAGTTCTTTAGGAAGACCTGTGAAATAAAGAGGACGAACCGTTTAATCTTCTTCCGTACCTATAGATTCGAGAGATTAATCAATAAACTACTCACTAATCACATCGGCCCCATTCTGATATTCAGTCTCTATGTTCCAATGTCGCATTTTGTTCGTACCGGAGCAATTGATCAATGGTTGCTATTCTTGTGAAGGAATGGTATAAAGGAACTCACAATTGATATTGAAGATGGTATTACATATCAACTTCCTTCTTATATTTCCTATTGTGAAGAACTGAGACGTTTGACGCTCTGTAACTGTGTCTTCAAGCCGCAACATCTTTCTGGAGGCTTTCGTAATCTCTTTAGTCTCTATCTGAAGAAAATCTCATTTACAGAGAATTTGCTTGAAACTCTTGTTTTTATTGCCCTGTTGCTCGAGTGTTTGATGTTTGCAAAATGCAATGGTATTCACCATTTTAAGGTCGATGTTCCGAAACTCAAAGCTCTGCATGTCTCAGGCAGCTATGGAGTTGAATTGATATGTTTTAGAAACATATCAAACCTTGAAGATGTGAGAATTATAATGGGCAAAGAAGTTAAAAGTATGGGGCAGGATAAAAGCATCAGTTTGATTAACTTTTTGGTTGATCTGTCTAGAGTTCTGAATGTTAAATTTGACGGCATTGCCCTTAAGGTGATACATTGTCTTCTGTTATTTGGTTGAGTCATTTGAAAACATGATTATATATTTTTCATGAATATATTTGGTTGTTTTCTTCTAAGTTTTTGGCTGCAGGTACAGTTCCGAAGAGGCTTCCAACTACAGCTAACCATTAATTTGAAGCATCTTCATTTGCATATTTAGAATTTAATGACGCGGATCAGATATCATGCGCTCTTTGCTTGCTTAGAAGCTCTCCTAATTTGAAGACACTTATTGTATCTGTAAGAAAGGTAAATCAAGACATACATACATATATTGTTTTAAATATTTAAATTTTCAAATGTAAACTGGTCTTTGATTCATGGTCTTTGTATAGGATGTTGCAACCACTGACGATGCACTCCAACCAGCTTTGAACTATCTGGAAGCATCAGACTCCACGGACCTGACCCTGAATGAACTTCAGTATTAAGGATATGTCATAGCAAGGGATCAAGGACTGAACAGCTGTTCATAAAGCTCATACTTGCATGTTCGCCCTCGCTGGAAAAGTTGATCATTAAGCGGAATAAAGAAGATGATCCCAATGAAGGATTTCAGGTTTCAGAACAATTGTTGTCCTTCCCTTGAGGATCGACAAGAGCAGAATTGATATACTTGGATCCAAGCAAGCAATTCCAGTGAAAATAATGAAAATAATTTGCTTGCAATGTTACTGGGGGCTAGTAAGCCCGGGACTCCTGCAGACCAGTAATGCTAGAAACGGCGCCGCTCTTTGGTCCTTTTTTTGGGGAAAGGTTTCGTTTCTCTAGTGTCTGCACTTTTGAAGGTTGACTTTGTGTGGTGCATGTTAGTATGGCTAGGTGACTGTTATGAGTCTAATTAATGGTCCATTTTGGTAAAAGAGGGATAGAAAGGTGTGATGAAATGGAAAGGAAGTTTGATTAATAAAGTCTCAGACAGGTCTAATGGTTCATGTTAAATTGAGAATCTTGTTTTTTATTTTTATTTTTTTTATTTTAATTCATGATTAGGCCTTTTCCTTCACTATGGATTGGAATCCAGGAGGGAATCTGACATTTTTCTATCCGTGTTTCATTATAACTACAGGACTTTTTCATTTTGCTAAGGAATTTTTTAATTTTTTTACTTACAACTATTTTTCTTGATCAATTTGTAAAAAAATAAAAAATAAAAAAAATTTATTGACGAGCGTGTGGAAACATTTTCAAACTCGAGAACATTTTTAGCCAATCCAATAGATTAGAACTGATTTCTAACAAGGGAAAGGTGTCTTCTAACAAGGGAAAGGTGTCTTTGTGAATCTTGAAGTGTTAGATTTTAACTCTTTACATTTAGGTACTAATTTAACTTTTATCAGTTCTTAAAAAAATATATATCTCTCTCAAAATTTTTAAAGTAAGGTCAATCTAGTACTTTTAACTTCTTGTAAATCATGACATTATTTAGTATGAAATTCAGTCCAGGATTAGTTAGGGGTGCAACTTGGGTTGAGTAATCTGAACCTAACTCGAACTCAATCCGATTTTTCACATGTTTGGGCAATTAATTTTTACAATTAAGGTTGGGTTTGAATTAAAAAATATCAATCCGAATTTAATTAGGGTTGAGATTGGATTGAAGTGCTAGCAACCCGAACCAATCCGAACCCGAATTTTAATATTATTTTCATATATATTTTTACTTTTAAATACATTATGTATAATATTTAAACTAGGATTACTTTTTTTCTTAAGTTATTGTATTTTAACATTGAGGAGAATTAATTTTCTAAAAAATTGTTTATAATTTGTTAAAAATAAGTCTTTAAACTTTTTCTTATTTAAGAGTTATTTAATCTAAAATTAATTTAAGATCATATTAAATTTTCGGTGTAAGGATTAGTCATATGAGTAACTCGAATTAACCCGAAATTTTTACGTGGAATCTAAGTTCGAGTTGCAAGCCTGAATTTAAAAGTAGAATGATGGGTTGGGCTTGGGTTGAGTAGTTAAGATTGAGGATAGGGTTAGTGTTAGGGTTAGGTTTAGGCTTAGATTTAACATTTCATATGGTAGGTTGGAATCAAATTATTCCTCAAACTCGCCCAATCCACCCGAGTTGTAGCCGGAGGATTAGTTACTGCCAAATTAAAGCTTCCTTATACGATTAAAGTTTTCCAGAACAATAACAAAACATATTAGAGTTTTACTAAAATACAAACACAATTCAAATAGAAACTTGAGAGACAATTGAACATTTATTTGTTTATTATTATTTTTTTCCCCTTCTCTAGTTTTTTGAGAAAAATAATCCATTTATCTCTGGATATAAAGGCAAGCTCTTTCAGAATTAAAAGTTTCAAGTGCTGAAGGAAAAGTTGAAGGTACTTTCCAGTTGAACTTTAAACAAAATATTTGTTATTTATGTCAAATTTTGTTGTCTCTGAATTATTCTTTTCGTTGCCTTAAGCATGTTAGTTTATACTTATATATACTTCATAACAAATATTTCTATACTGACAAGTGACAAAGGCACAGTATTAATATGATGAAGCTGATCGATCGACGATCATAGATGTAATAGTTTATATATGCAACTGATATTATTTTCCTATGTAAAATTATTAGTTGCATGTCATATATATATATATATATATATATTAGTGTCATTTTTTTTTTTTTTCTCTATTTTTATTTAAGATAGAAAAAGAAAAGTTGGACAATTCCCGTCTGTGTTAATTATTTTTTTTTGGAAGTATCGAAAATGGCCTCTATGGACCAAGGAGCCAGGAATTTTAATTTGAGGGCCAAATTATATATGGAGGAAAATAAATTCTAAAAAATGAGAAAAAGCAACCTAAATAAGTAAGGATGAAAACTGATTTGAAAAGGGGGAAAAACAAAAAAAGATAAAGAAGAGGAAGCAATAAGTTAAAGTAAAAAACAACAATAATAATAATAAGTAAAAGAAAATATTGTTTAAGAATTAAATTTTATTCAACAAATATTTTAATTTTTCAAAAATTCAAACTTTGAAAAATTATATAATTTGATTACTTTGATTCTACTTTAAGAAAGATATGTCATTATTACTAAGAAGAAGAGAAAAAATGTAACATTATAACTAAGATATATTGCAAAGCTGAAGGTCAAGGCAATGGTACCTCCTCCTCCCCATTTCCTTCTAAAGTTGAAGGTCGATGGTATGGTTGCAAAAAGTGAGTGTCGGTGTGTTTCTTGCCTTCAAAAAAAATCATAATAATAATAAAAAATTACGAGTAACTAATGTTGAGTGTGGTATGCAAGAATAGAATGTAAGTATGAATGAAAAGAGAATGGGAATGGAATGAAATGAAATTGTCATTCTTATTCTATTGTTAGGTTGCAAATATGAAACGTATAGGAATTGAATGATAATAATCATTCTAGTGTTTGGTTGGACTAATTTAAAATTTAGATATGGAATGAATTTCAAATTGAATTCTCCAAAATACCCTTTTTAGTGACAAATAAATTAAACTAACAAAATAACATCTTTTTATAAACAAATGGCGGCGGCGGCGGTGGATGGCGTTAACGATGGTGGTAGAGGTGGAAAGCGATAATGGTGTTAGAAGGTAAAATCTTAATAATAATAAAAAATTACGAGTAACTAATGTTGAGTGTGGTATGCAAGAATAGAATGTAAGTATGAATGAAAAGAGAATGGGAATGGAATGAAATGAAATGAAATTGTCATTCTTATTCTATTGTTAGGTTGCAAATATGAAACGTATAGGAATTGAATGATAATAACCATTCTAGTGTTTGGTTGGACTAATTTAAAATTTAGCTATGGAATGAATTTTAAATTGAATTCTCCAAAATACCCTTTTTAGTGACAAATAAATTAAACTAACAAAATAACATCTTTTTATAAACAAATGGCGGCGGCGACGGTGGATGGCGGTAATGATAGGGGTAACGATAGTGGTGGTGGTGGTAGAAGGCAATAGTGGTATAAGTGGTGGTGGTGGTGGAAGGCAATGGATGTGACAGTGGTGGTGGTGGTGGTGGAAGGTAGTGAAGTGGCGGTGGTGGAAGGTGATGGTGGTTGAAGGTAGTGGTGGTGACGTTGGTGACGGTAAAGGTGGCAATGGTTGTGGAGGTGTCAGTGGCAGTGAAGGCGGTGGTGGTGTGATGGTGGTGGAAGGTCGCGACAGTGGTGTAGGTGGTGGTGGTGGTGGAACGTGGCAGTTGCAGTGACGGCAGTGACAATGGTGACGATAATTGTGGCAATGACGATGGTGGAAGGCAATGGAGGTAGCAGTAGTTGAAGGTGGTAGTGGTGGAATGCAGTAGCAGTGGCGGAAGTTAATGGTGGTGGTGGCGACGGTGGTGGTGATGGTGATGGTGGAAGGTAGTGGAGGCAGCGATAGTGTGATGGTTGAAGGCGACAACAATGGTGACAGTGACAATAACAGTAGTGGAAAGCAATGGAGGTGGCGGTGGTGAAAGGCGGTGAAGGCGGCAGTTTTTGTGGAAGGTGGTGGTGGTAAAAGGCGGCAGCGGCGATGCTTGGACCATAAGAGTTTTTTGGGAACTTGATTTTGTAAAAATATTTACTTAATGGTCATTTAATAAGTTTAGTTGTGAAATGAATTTTCATTCACAAGAATGTATTTTCTTTTCAATGAAATGACTATTCCCACTTTAATTACACCCAAACAAACAAATGATTGGAATGGGAATTCCATTCATGCACACCATACAAAGCATAAAATATTTGCACTAACAATTTTGATAATAGTAACTTATATTTTTATCCAACAAAATTTGAGCTTTCAAAAATAGGCTAAAATTGTCAAAATTAAAATTTCATATGAGTTTAGAAAGGACAAATTTTTATTTCGAAACTCATAATCTTTTTCTATAAATTTTGGGGGTCACATGTGTAGATTAATCTTCAAGATAACATTTTTTGGGAAGTATAAAGTAAATTTTGAAATATTTTGGTCCTTAGCCCCTCAAGCTCCACCACTACCGATGGAAAAGCACACTTGCTACGAGGGCCATGGTGTCCAAGAAGAGTGAGCTGATCTTCTAAATTATGAAATTTTGTGAGAGTAGGAAAAAATGGAAGAAGAAAGTTGAAAAAAATGTGTATAAAGGAAATCAATGGCTAGATTAAGTAGACTAATTTATTTTTGTTCATTGAAGTTTCATTTGCTTCGAGCTAAGTTCTCTTTCGTTTGAATCAGAACAACCATGCAATGCAGTTATGAAAGGTTGGCTATGAATGTTGCAGAGGATTTTATCATTGATTTACCGTCGGAAAAAAAAGATGTTATCAGTGATCTACCGAGAGACATAATAGATCGTATCCTAGCGCGCATGCCCATTCGAGATGTAGCAAGAACAAGTGTGCTATCAAGAAAATGGAGGCAAATTTGGGCTACACATCCACAACTCATGTTTGATCATCAGTTCAACTTCAACATAGAGACCACAGAAGACAAACCATTCATTCTACAGAACTTTGTGAATGTGATTAAGAAGATTTTCAACATAGAGACCACAGAAAACAAACCATTCAAAATTCTACAGAACTTTGTGAATGTGATCAACAAGATTTTCTTACTTCACACTGGTCCCATTCTGAAATTTTCTCTCTATATTCCACCACCCATACAAATTGATCACAACCACGATATTGATCATTGGATGCTAATTCTGTCGAGTAATGGTATCAAGGAACTCACCTTTGAAAGTGCAAGTCCTTATCCCTATAAATTGCCATCATGTATATTCTCTTGTCCGCAATTGACTCGTCTGAAACTCTGCAATTGCATAATCAAGCCACCACATGCATTTAAATGCTTTGGTAATCTTATTAGCCTCAGTTTTGAGAATATCATATTTACAGCTAACATGCTCGAGACTCTGTTCTCAAGTGCCCCTTTACTCGAGAATCTGTTTATTTTAAGCTGCATTGGTATCGAACATTTTAATATCCAAGCTCCATCACTAAAAGTACTGCAACTTGGGAGCATTTGTGGATTTAAATCGATATCTTTCAAAAACAGCCCAAATCTTGCTATTGTCGTTATTGCACCATTATTTGAAATTGATAATTCGCAATGGGCTAAAACCACCAATTTGATTGAGCTTGTTGCTAGTTTGCCTAGAATTGAGAGGCTTTTGCTGGACAACTTTGTTCTCAAGGTATGATGTTGTAAATTTAGTACTTTATTTATTTATTTTTTTTTGGTTCAATTGTATTGGAACATATTTCGTGGTTCTTATTTTCTGGCTTTTTTGCTGCAAAGGTTTTAGCTGCAGGTACTGTCTCAAAGAGGCTTCCGGCAATTAAAAATTTGAGATTTATTCAATTGTTTAAGATAAATTTCAATGATTTGGATCAGATTTCATGCATTCTTTGCTTGCTTAAAAGCTCCACTAACTTGCAGGACCTTTATCTTCAGGTGAGAACGTAGACTAAGATAGCCAATCTGTTCAATACCAAAAACACATTTTTATAAAAACTGATTTTACATTTGATTTTGTCTTCTATAGGCCTTTGAAAGCAAAGGTACAGTCATGCAACCGGTTTTCAATTTTTTGAAAGAATCCAAGTGGATGTACCTGAAATTGAACACACTTCAAACTGCGGAACTTGTTCTTTACGGGTGCTCGAGGACTGAACTTTTCTTCATCGAGTTTTTACTTGCCCGTTGCCTAATTCTTGAGAGAATTTTCATTCAGCTTTCAGGGGTCAGTTCAAATGAAGGGTTTAGAGTCTTAAAAAAGGTGGTGCGGTTTTCGCGAGCCTCCGAGAAAGCAGAAGTAATATTTGAGTACCGAGAAAGCAGAAGTAATATTTGAGTAGCCCCATGTGAGTCAGTCCAGCTATAATCTTTATTTTCAACAAGCAAACAAGCTGATACACAGCTTTATTTCAACAACTTAGCAGACCCCGGTCTTCTTTGTCTTTGTTTTGTTAATTGGAAATCTTATTTTGTTTTTGATTCAAGACTAGGCTGACTTGGTGTTTTCTCCTCATTACTTATTTTTCCATCTTTCTGTAGAATTTTGCCTTTTTTGGGAGGTCTTACAAGAAGTGTAAACTATGTCACATAAAGCGGGAGCGGGAGCAAGAGCGAGAGCGACTCCGAGAACGGGAGCGTAAGAGCAACATAATTAAGTCATGAGCTTTGAAAATTTTAGCGATAGCGCACTCGGAGGGTAAGAACGGGAACATGCTTAGAGCACAAGAGCGATATCTATTGAAAATGATTGTGTGACTTGTAGTGCAAATGGTGAGACTAAAATTGTAACATGTTGTTAAATATGATTTACATAAACTGTTCTTAGAAAAGCAAAACTTGGTTTTGAAAATGAAAGAAGGGAGAGACTTTTCATAGCACACTCAAAGGTCATAGTTTGGCCTTTTTCTATATATAGGGAGGTTAGGGGTTCGAACCTCGGTAGAGGCAGTGTGTGTGAGTCCCAACTAGGAAAAAAAAAATTGGAGCACTTCACCCCAAGGATATAGCGGAGAACTTTGGTGGCCTTTGAAAATCAGGATGACCTCATACAATTTTTTGGTTGTTCGCTTCAAATATTTACTCTAGTCATTCTCAGGATAGGATGGTTTTTCTTGATATTCTTTTATGTAGGGGTAGTCAATTGGTAAAAACTAGTTACAAATTAGACAGAAAATATATAAAAACAAATTAAACACATACAACCAGGGGCAGAGTCAGAATTGTCTTTCAGGGCGGGCATAGTGTAATTGATAGGAGGAAAAAAAAAATCGACCCAAACACAGATCAATCTTTTCGCTAAACAAAAATATCAAACACTTAAATGATTCTTTGATTGCAGAGTGTACCGAAGAGGACGAGGAGTGAGGAGTTTCAGACGCTTTTAGATGCAGAGGCCTGAGTTTCTCCCAAGCTCTACCTCGCTTGAATGAAGGCACCACCGGAGGAGATGATTCATTTCGTTTTTTAGCAAGGCAAATTTGTTATACGCTATGACTAATTTTTAGATAATAGGTTAATTTAAATGATTTCCTTGTTCTATGCTATGATTCCCTTGCTTTTTTTTTTTTTTTTTTTTTTCCTTACAATAAGTGTATTAGCCCCACAACACATGCATCACTCAAGTCAGGAGTGCGGCTCGAAAGCGAGACCTCAAAGACTTACTTTTGGCAATCCACCTTTTGGACTTTGTGAAAACAGAAAACAATATATTTTATATTATATAACTCTTCCAGAAAATAGTAATTCCATAGGCTTTGGTTGGTGAATGACAAAATCACCCCATCCTATCACTAATTTGTGTGAATTTTTTTTTTTTAGGGGGAGCATATATGAACTTTCAAAGATTTATGCATATAATAGTACAACCCCTCCCCCCCCCCCCCCCAGCACATGCTCCCTCCGCCACTGCATACAACAAGAACAGACACATTTCTTTTCTGTTTTTTTATGGTAAAAAAAAAAAAGAGCAAATGGATCAAAATAGAAAGTTCAGAATGAATAAATACTCTCGCATTAAGGCAACACAACAAGTGCGAAAATTATTAATATACCTCCAAAAAAAATTCGACCTTTTTTTGTTGTTGTTGGAAGTTAAAGCAATTCTCTCACCCACCTACTTGTGAGGCTCGAAGCCCTAACCTCCTTTTGGGAAATAAGGGTGTGGTATAGTGCCAATGGCCCGTTTAAAAAAAAAAAAAAAAAAAAAAAAAAAAAAAAAAAAAACACTAAACTAAATGGGGTGGGACAAGATGGGTTCATAGATGCTTATATCTTAATGGGACATGTATGGATTGTAAACTTTAAACTAGTCGTAATTATTGTGAGATATATATTTCTTTTGTAATTAGCTAATTTCGATGTCAAAACGAGTCCGAACGAGTTATAATTTTTAATGTAAGAATATTGAAGATTGAAGATCGGATGCGGATTTGAAGAAGGTCAAGTGTTCAAAATATACTACACTCCGAGATGATGAGAATAATGCTATAAGAAGTTTTGAGAGGTAGTGAGAACATTTAGGAAGGGTTTTGAAAGGTTTGAAACAAGTTTTTACATTCTGTCCATCTTGAACTGGTTCAAGATCTATCGAACAGTTTCAATATCATCAGAATGCTAAAATTTCAAGATTAACCATCTTGAACCAGTTCAAGAGGGCAGAATTGGTTCAAGAATCCGTGGGATTCCTTACTGTCCATCTTGAATCGGTTCAAGAAGTCCTAGATGCATCAGGTTTCCAGTTTCCTTCTTCTGATGTTTCCTTTTTTATCCCAGTTTCCTTCTAAGCCCGCTGCACGAAATTTATCATATTTTCTGAGGGATTAGGACTTTCAAAACTCTATATAAACCTTGTCATATACATTGGTTGATGAGGGCTTGAGGGAAAATTAATTCTATATTTTAAGAGAGCCTTCTAAAGAGAGAAAATTCAGAAAATCAAATCTGATTATTCTGAATTTATTTGTGAGAGCATCCACATATATTCAAGAGTGATTTAGTGGTGTTGTTCTCTATCTCATCGGAATCGGAGCTATACTGAAGATTCAGAGATTCTAGATGAGAAGCAGGATTTAATTCTTTTACAATCGAGTTCAGATCTTGAAGAACAGAAGTAAGCGCTATCACACTTTGAAAGGGTTGGAGCATTCGTGGAGTGCTGTCTGATCTACCTGTTACTCTTCTACAAATATCAAGTGTAAGCCTGAGATCAAGTTGCTGTTGGACGGGGAGTCGCAAAGCCAGAGGATCGTCAGCGGTTGGTGTGGTGTAGAACGATAGGGTATGAGCCAGAGTCAAAGTTCGGTATACTTTGTTTCAAACATAGTGGGTTGGTTTACTTTTGACTGCATAGTTCACGAGGATTTTCCCATAACAATTGACGTATTTTATCAACTGGAGTTTCCTCGCTAAAATCCTGGTGCAATCTCTCTTATCTTTACTTGCTTTACTTTTCAGTATTTAAATTTATGATTGTGGATGTTTAATTGATCATATAATTTAATTAATCATAAATTAAGCAAGTTGACCTAATAATCAGATCTAGGTCATTAAAGGAGTTAATCACAATTAAAATCAATTGTTTCCGCACCCCGCGTAACTCTTGTTTAACAATTATGAGATGGTATGGATTTGTCCATAATTAAACGCGGAAGGATGAGTACGAATTTAGACAAACTTGCCATTTGTATCCACATTATCTACTTCTTCATATGCAATGGTGTCCACCGCATATGAGAGAGTTGAAGAGTCAAGTAAGGAAAAAAATACATAAAAACCAGATCAAACACATACAATAAGAACAAACACAATTTTTTTTTTATGTGATTTCACTATTATGATAAAATAAAATTAAAAAAGCTCCAGATTGAAACTTCGAAATAAATAAATACCCTTATAGGCAACATAACAAGTGCAAAAATTATCATAATATCTCCAAAAAAATCCTTTTTCTTTTTTTTTCTTTTTTTTTTTTTGTGTGTGGAAGTTAAAACAATTCACTCACCCACCCTATCGTGAGGCTCGAATACCTGACCTCCCTTTGGGATGTCGGAGTCGGGTACCACTGGCCACTAGCCCATTGGTCAAAAGAAAAAAAGAAAAAAAATAAATAAACCTAAACGGGGTGGGATAGGACAGGTACATGTATACTCATTCTTAACATGACGTGTATGGATTGTGAACTATAAACCCGTCGCATGTATGAGGCGGTATGAATTTGTCTATAATTAAACGGGTATAGGGATGACAATTTCCCCCGACCCGGTGGGTTTCTACCCCGCATGGAACGAATTTGGTTGCCCCCTAAATGGGTTTGGCGCAGGTATAGTAAAATAGTTGAAAACTCGGAACGGGTTTAGGGCGGAGGCAGATTTAGTGATGAACCCACCTGACCCCACCCCAATTATATATGTACCTTTAAAAAATTTTAAATATATATTTATTATTTTTAAGACTCTTGTTATTTTGCTGAAAGTGTCAGTTAATATATTAATATTCACCGAGTAATTTAATAGCTGAAGCAGCTTATTTATCAGCTCAATTTGAACTCATTAGACTATTTTTTTTTTTTTACTAAATAATAAAAGTGACATAACCCGCCCCACAATTAAATAGAGTACGCAGAGCGGAGTCAGTACTTTATCTACCGAGTAAGGACAGGTATAATATACCAATTACAAACCCGTCCCGAAGTAAGAGCGCAGTTATTATGACAAATTTTCTAACGGAACGAAGTAAGGTTTTGCCAACTTCGCTTCTATTTCGTCCCGTTGCCATCCTAGACCGGTATGAATTTAGACAAATCCATCCCGTTGCCATCTATATCCGGTCTCCGCATATACAACCATGCAAGGGGGTTAACCGCATGTGAGTGAGTTGAAGAGTCAAAGTAGCTCGCTCCAATTAGCATTAATAATTTGTACATGTAATTGGTTAAAAGAAGTGACAACATGAAAAAATAATGAAAAATTATGCAAGTATGCAACCCGGCCAATAAAGAGAGGTTTTTGTAGCTATAATATACTCAAACTAGGAAACTTCTACTTTAATTGATTATACGTGTAGAAGAAACAACATGTCATTCCGTCTCATTTTTCACTGATAGATAGAATGTCAAACACCAATTACTAATTTTAAGAATTTTGAAACTTCAAAAAAAAAAACAAAAAAAAAAAATGATTTTTTTTAAAAAAATTTCTAATTCGTCCTACTTGTAAGTTCTAAAGACAAATAAATCTTAAAAAATTTTCACAAAGACAAAGATGTCTACTTTTTAAAAATATTTCCAAATAAGTTTAGATTATGTAAATAATGAACATTTTCCCAATATTGTCCTTTTAT